AAATGTTTACTTGCTGCCTAATATATCCCACCCACTGACAGGTGCCATGATAACCAGATAATCAGTGTTATTCACTTCACCTGTCAGTGCTCATAATGTTATGGCTGATCGGTGTAAGACACCAGCGGTCATTTTCCTGTTTGAATACTCATGTTATTATTATTAAATGATGATCATGCTTGTACCTCAACAGGCTACAATTCCTGCTCTGATGAAGTACAGTTCATCTCTGTGAGCATCTTACTGACTTTAAATGGTTTTATATTCCCCATTTTTCTTTGGTGTACTGATAATGATAGTTATAATAATCAGGATTAGACTGAGCCAAGAGAAAACAGACTGAGGAAACAAAATGCTCCGTTAGTTATAGGAACATAGTGTAATCATTGAAAAGCACAACAATGAGACACTGAGTATCTCAACTTCAGTGTTACTAACAATTAAACAGTGCCAATCACCAGTGCCTCAGTCCAGAGGTGCCATTCAAAGTCTAAACAGTAGAGGGTGCTGTTGACTAATACAAAAGGTTTCTGGTGGAAAAGAAATCTACTGCTCCTGCAAAATCAAAACATTTAAAGAAATATGTATCTATGTTTAAAATGCCTATTTCACCCCCTTAATTTGAATGAAGGACACAATTAGCCTGAAGCCAACAAGTTCCTGACATAACTTAATAATAATTAAATAATAGGAAAGTGGTGAAACTATGTCTCAACAGACAAGTTGTTTTCTAACTTAAATGGTAGCATGAAAGTAGAGACATAACACAAATGTTATTAAAGGACCGGTGTCTGGTTCAAAATGGTGGACACCATGGAAGGCGACCCACTGCCTCTGTAGATAAAAACAGCTCATTCTAAGGTAACGAAAACACAACAATTCTCAAATTGAGGTGATTATACGCCAATGAAAACATACCTATGAATATTATATTCCATCTGCCAATAGGGGCTCCTAAATGTAAACACACTGGACCTTTAATGTTTATTACACTCAAATTACAAAACATTTATTCAATTGTTTATAGTGTTACCGAGATTTAGTCTACACATGCAGCATTATCATACTAAGAGAGCTTTAGACTTATAGAATAGATAACACTTTTGATAAATCTGATTGAATAACTGCTTTTGGAACGTGTTGCTTAAGGTACACTGTTACATGGTCACAGCTTCTGTGTAACACATTTGGTTTGCTGTAAATCAAGGCATCAAAGCTACAGTTTGTGAAGGTGTAATACAACTCATCAGGCCCACTGGTGGAAAGCACAGCTCTGACTTCTGGCATAGACCCAGAAAACATCACTCACCAGAATCTTGACCTTTTCTCGCTCTTCGTAGGTCTTTCCTTTCTCTTTGATGAGAGCAGGGGTCAGCTCATCCAGGCCTGTGGTTACTGATGACTCTCTCTCCCTCTGGGCCAGTCTGGCCAACTGCTCCTGCACTAGTGCCTGTTGACGTTCGAAGCTAAAGCAGGGGAAGATAAGAACTGTTTTAACCTTTAACCGTTATTTATCCAGTGAAAGCCTGCTAAACATGCAAGTTCTCGTTCACACAGAGAGCTACCCAGTGGGGTTAGGGAGATATTTTCTGGTTGGATTCTGTTGATCAACACCAATACCAATAGTTTTGGAATAAAGCCTCCAAAAGTCAACACAATTTCAGTTATCAGAGTCACAAAAAGGGTATTTATATCAGAGCTATTGTATTGGGTTGCCTGAATTACATCTGCTACTGCACCTGACACAATTGATTTGCTTGGTCTGAGAATTTATATCAGGGGCTCCTCAGCCAAGAGCATATTTCTGTAACTCTCCAACCTTCTACATGAACCTAAATAAAAGCTGACTACTTTACAGGAATGTGCCACTAACTAACATTGGCAAAAATGTAATAATATACTGCATATCATGTCCGACATATTTCTAGGAAACAGCAATCCAGTGAGAGTGGGCCAGAAGTGCCAACGTGTAAATCTATAGAGGCTCAGGATAGTATATGAGCATTCCAGCTGCACAGCAACATGGCTGTTATACGACGTCAGCACGGGCTGTGTTGACAGGTCTCTCAGCATGTGTATGTTCGCCATAAACATTGCACGGTTAGTATGGAGTGCCTGCTATTTTATACATCTGTCACCTCCACTGGTTATTAGCTGCCAGTGTCAACACATTAGGCTCAACTTAAACATATGAAAATATATGTTAGGGTCAAATATCCTGCACAATCTATCCATTCACCAAGCTTAAGTTATAACTAATGCATCATAATACATTACATGCAAGGTTATAGCAGGTCCCTCATCAAACACGGCTGGATAACAACATAAAAGGGACAGTGACAATGACATCATGAGCACCTACTTTTTGCGGATTTCTTCCTGTATTTCTGTAGTGGAGGGTCCTGTTGGTTTTGGACCTGGAAATCAAATGTTATAAATATCAATGTTATTAGCAATTACAATATGGATCAGTTTGTACAACAGAGTAGCAAAAGCAACCAAGGGTTACTGGTACACTAAGGGTTAAAGTCTGACGCTCATGTTCTCTGTCTTACAAAATGATCTATGCTAGGCCCCCTTTTCTTATACCATTGTCTCTAACGCTGACCCAATTATCAAGTAACTTATATATTATATTATAACTTTAACTTAAATTACATTAACACGTGTAAAGACAGAGCGGACCGTGTAAATATTCAAGTAAATATGAGCACATAGATAAGTTTATGTTCACAGTATTCTGTCCTTTCTATAATGAACAATGTGAAAAAGTCAGAACTGACCTTTGTGCTGATACTGTTCTCATCGGTCCCTGTATGAGGATATGTTGGCTGACACAGTGGACCTCCCAATGGGAGCTCTGTGAGAAAGGAAATGACACTGACTGGGACTTACTTGGTGGCGGTTTTTGACTTTCTGCTGGAGACGGTGGCGGCTTGCTGCTGTCAGAGCCCTGAGATTCCCTCATCCGCCGGAGCACATCATCTGAGAGCTGGGAATATGAGATATAACACATGAGCAAACACACACATATATACACATAACACACATATACAAGCCCCTTGGTGTGCATGATAGAGAGTTTTAAAAGGCTCAAAGGTTAAAGAGACCACTTGCTTACTTACCTACCAGCCTGTCCTCTCAGACCGAAGTTACCTGAGTATGAAGAAGAGTAGCTCCCTGATACATGCACCAACACATGAACACTTCATCAACTTACACTTGCAGGTCCACAGATGGGACACAACTGCAAATGCTGCGTTCATGAAACTGAAACTGTCTACGTGTTGTACTGTTTGCAGTCACCAAACCATTAAATGCGCTGACTGGCGTTACAATAACGTTACATGACCTCTTAGGTGTTGGTGACATAGCGAATCTAGCTAACATTTAATGTTACACTGTGGAAACTTCCCGACCGCATTAAGGTTATGTCCGCCTCCTTGGAGCCGATATACGGGTTAAGATAGCCTGGTGACAGAGGGTAACAGAGGGTAACAGAGGGGGTATGACCTGGGTCATTTGAGGACATGGGTCCTGTCAGCCGTTCAGTCTGAAAGCCCACTGCGGTTAGCTGACCGTCACTAGCTAACGTTATATAGTCCAGTACTAGTTATAGTCTGAATGTACGACAGTAAGACAACACATTACCTTCACTCCTTCAATTACTGTGACCTTCTCGTCTTCGTCCAGCCCGAATGACACTTTCCTGGTGGTGCTGCCGTTACCTCCCATTTCTCACCGACTGTCTTGTTCCCACCTTTCTAGAAACAATACAGCCCGTCTAACCTCGGGACAGGGGGACATAAACGAGAGAGAGAGAGCGGCTCAAGTGGCCGCCACAGCGACCGGTGCTTAAAACACTTCAATAAAGGTCATTCTGGCGCTGCAGTATCCTCAAAGCTCATTCGTTGGATGAAATAATTCAGACCCAATGACTCATGGTTGTGTATAAATCGACTGAGGGTGGACGGGAATTGTAGTTCTACTGTAGGTTGGCTAATGTGGAGTCCGACTTGTGTTTTTTTTTTTTACAAGACAAACATAATGCAAGGAGACAGAATTAGGCTCCTACTGTCAATACATAATAAAATGTGAATGAAATATGTTAAAAAAAAAAAAAAAAGTGACAACCTGACTGGGCCTGATGAGCAATTTCCCTCTGCTTTTGAAGAATCGGAGCCCTGAGCATATAGCAAATGTATTTCATTTCCTGCACCATACAGTCGCTGCTGATTAGTTTTTGTACATTAAGCATAAAAAAGCAATCAGGGGTTCAATCTCATGCGTAATAACAGAGAGATGTATGTGCCAAATTCAAATTGTGAAAGACGTGACAATAAGCATTCATACTTTTTGTAATTTTAGAAATGAATTAACCTGGTCGTTCTAAAAAATATCTGAGTTAGCAACTTTGCAGCTTATCCATTCCTGAAACCTGAAGATAGTTATAGCCATAATAATCTATTAAGCTTTTTGGAGATACTATGAAATGTAATGACCTAGTTGGATCCTGACCTGCACAAAGACTAATTCTGACAAATGGTGATGATGGAGGTTTTGACCTCAAGCCCAGCACATTTCAAGTAGCAGAGCCCAGAAAGACTTGCAGAGGCAGCATCCTCTGGATTAGTGAGCACACCAGCTGGCAACCACATGCTGATGATGGTTCAGTTAAGGTTAAGGCAAAGCCAGCTCGCCAGCTTATTTTTCTCCTCCGTGCTCTCAAGTTCTCTTTGTTTTGACAAAAGGACCACAAGCCCCGGATGGAAAGTACGACTGGTGAGTTGTGTATCAATAACAGCCTATTTTGGGTAGCGTGATACCTTTTGGCATATGCTCATTATTTTCTTGTTTCAGTGGTATACAGTGAAATGTTGACGGACAAGGGTCTGTGCTCACCATTTGCAGGAACTGACAGACCAGCTCTGAACTTAGAGTACTGCCTGGGAAAAACACAAAAAAACATCAAAAAGGCAGATAAGGCCTCGTGAAAAACAAATTTCAGTGCAGGCTCAACAAAAGGTTCCAGACTATCTCTGAGGCACTTAAAGTTCCCAGACTACAAATTGCCCCTAACTGCATCGTGATTAATTTAGCAGACTGTGTTTGTGCTTTATAGCAGAACCATGCAAGGACTCAGTAAAGTAGATCAGCTGGCCATCTGCAAATCGTGCCAAGATGGTTTCCATCATCATCATCCACTTGTAATTTAGCAGGTAGAGGGCACGAACCAGGGGACAGCAAAAGCCTTGGAAAAGAAAACATTTTGCAAGCCTCAAAAGTTAAAAGTGTGGTGATGTGCCAACATAGAAAATCCAAACTGCTACCAGAGGTGCCAAACAACACAAGTTACATTTTGAATTACAATGTTTAAAAAAAAAAAAAAAAAAAAATCCCTCTGTCTCTTCTTTTCNNAAAAAAAAAAAAAAAAGGAGAAATGATTCCGTGATCAAAATACTCTGGTCGAGCCCGGGCTCGGACTCAACTCCTGACGAAATGCATAAACACTATCCCTTCAATGTGAACAATTTCAAAACCACAACTTGGAACCACAACTGAGAGTGTAATCAAATCAATGCTTGGCCTCTGAACCGCTGGACCGGATGTTAGTTTTGCTCGTTTGCTTGCTTGGGCTACCTCGAGCTTTTAGCCTACGTAACCTGCAGAATTGTTCATGGAGGTATTGACTCTTCAAACCCCACACTTGTGGAATGGCGCCATTGATTCGGTAAATGGATACAAGGCGGTGGGATAGGAGATGATACCACAACCTCTCTGGTTATGTCAGTTCCTATTAACAACACAGACATACACAACATGTGTTCAAAGGAATGCAGCAAAGGAATGATTAGCCGCGTATTGAGCAGCACTTGTTGATGTTGTTAATCTGAATACAGAAATGGCCAGCTGGATGGTGTTTGCATGTTAACGTGTCCAACCGAGGGCTTCAATAAAAAGCTCACCCTGCACTCTCACGCACACTTCCTCATTGCAGCAGTTTGATTAATCAACTGAGCCCACTGTAGGAAGATTTAGGCGCTCATCATCCCAGATCAAAACTCCAGGGTTCCTGATCTGGTCTGAGGATCAGCATTAGAAGCTTCATGGGATCATCCAAAGCTCAAGACCATTACAATAAACCGGTCTGCCCCTTTACAAAAACTTATTTCTTGCTACCTTTCTTCTTAGCTCTTATTTCTTTTTTTTTTTTTCTTTCCTAGCACGCCTTAATTAAACAATTCATTCTGTGGCCATGGGAATATTACCTTGTCACTATGGGTCTTTTTTCTACTGGTTGCTTGAGATGTACAAATTGAAAAGGGTTTTAATTTAAACCAAGTTTTTGTTAAATGAATAGTCTCTCTTGAGTTTTCCTATTTTTTTGTTCTGTCAATTTAATAGAAATCCATGATTTATATCAATCTGTAACCAAGAAAAAATAACCAAACAAGTCTTGGGGCTTCTTTTTTGGCTTGAGGACAGAATTATAAGAAAAAAAAAAAAAAAAAAAAGAAGGCGCGGTAATGCTGGAAGGCTCATTGATCAACCAAACTCATGATATCACTGTAAGTCTGTCTGGATCAGAGCTGCATTTAATTCTAATAGATAGAATTCTAAATGCCTTTATTCAGGGGTTTAGTGAAAGGACACAATCCTTTAAAGTTTGGAGCTTCTTCAAGCAGAAACAAGTCAGCCTAAAATATCACTGCTACCCTGATAGATAATATTCAGGTTTGAGTCCGATGATGAGCTCTCTGTTTCAGTCTGATTTGTGACCTTTTTCCATTTTACTTAAGGAGATGGGAGACATTTAAATGGCATCATGCCATTGCAGATGCTGGATAAGGACAAACTTTTATTCATAATTACATTTGTCCTCTGGAAATTCATCAAAATTAGACCCGTGTGAGCCCTAGACTGCTGCTCAAATATCATAGTATGTCAGCAATTCTGGAAAAGTCAAACCCCTGTTGGGAAAACACCATATTTTATCATTTAGGGCTTATTGCCTGAAAGTGAAACAATTACCCTGAAAGAAAACAAATAAGTTTCAGTTCAATGCAGCATACAGTTTTATGAGAGGAAATAAATGTTAATACATTTACTGTCAAGGGTAAAACTAGTGACTTACTGCATATTGTCGATTCTCTTTTGTTTTGTAATTTTACATTTTATATTTTTTTTATTTTATATTAATCTTAACCCTGTATTTCTATATTATTACTTTTGTTTACTTTGCCATTTTTTTATGTTTATATTTCTAATGTGTTATTGGTGGAATTCATTTAAAAGGAAACGGGACCCTGCTACTTACAAGCAATGTCTTAATCCTAACCCGCCCTACTCTGACTCTGATTGGCTGATTGCTCTGAGGAGCACTGACACGATGAAGTCAGATGGGGCAAGAAGGAACATGAGCAGTCAGACAATCAAAAAGGTTGTAAACAAACAGATTTAACCTCTGGTGTTCATTTACTTTTCCAAATACTGGTTTTGTTTAAAACCTGTATGATGACTCCTTCTGCCCTGAGAAACTTCTTTTTAGCACCGTCACTGTGTTCCCAAATCTTAGCAATTCACTTTGTTAGTGCAGCAGTGTTATTACAGATAGGAATGGTGGCCAGAACTACAAAAATAAGACCATGGTTGTATAAAACTTGAATTTCCCTTTAGCATGAGTCAGTTGTAAAGCACTTTGAACTGTACTAACTGGATGATTGATATAACTGTCAATGGACACCACGGTCGTGCATTTCTGAACAACAACTAATAAACCTAGCAGAGGAACTGGGGAGTGTGGCCTCTTCAGTCTTCCACCAAATGCCAACAACCCAGTGATCATCTGGCAAACAGACCGCACTCCTGCCCTTTCTCCACTCAGGTGTCTATTAAAGGAAAACATGTGGTCTAGTGTCTTGTTTCAGGGAAAGTGAAAACACACACCCGCTGAGGTACACAGTCAAGCAGTGGAGTCATGCATGTTGTGACTGTGTGTCTTTCCCCTTCCTTTGTACCACATTCCCTTACTCCACATCGCCACATGGGGTAGGGGTAAGTGGCCTGACCCCTCTCTACTATCACCAGGCAGGGCCCCCCTCCCTTGACACCCACTCAAGAAAATCAATCAGTATTCAGGTCATGCCACACGGACGCCCCCCTTAGCACATGACCTCTGACTCCTGCAGGGTTCTCCTCAGAGAGCGTGACAGGGATTTGTCTGTGCTGCCAGTGTCTGCTCCATGTCCGACGCTAACAAAGTCCTCGTGTTCAGGAGGAAGGGAGGAGCGTGGCCTGACCCTGTCCACCTCCGACACAATAAATCCAGCTGAGGAGTTCAAGGTGGCCTGACCTGCATCCGACCCCGTCTCTGGAAACATAGCAACAAGCTCCAGCTGAGCCCCCACCCCACCCCAATGCCACAGAGCTGAAGGGAGAAGCAGAGGCAGCGAGTTTCGTGGGCGCCGTCAGAACGCAAACCAACACGTTTATTCACTCGTATTTCACTTCACCCAAGTCTGTGACATCCGAACAGTTGGGAAGCCTTGTTTCTGTCATGGGAGGTGCATGGGGAGGGGGGGTGGAATTAGCATACCGTAATTACACTGGGGAAAGATCCAGACTCCAAGGAGCAAGACATAACCCATAATTTGCCATTGTGCTCCCTATGCAATTGTCAGTCGGTCTATGATATTGGAGATAAATGTCGGAATTCAGGCTGTTAGTTTAACTGATGGTGCATTCAGTATGATAATAACCACGGTCTTGCACACAGTGAATCTGACGAGCAGTCCTGCAATAGCTCTTCACCACTTTCCCTCCCCTCCATGGGGTATTATCATGCTAATCTAAAAGAGAAGATGAAAAAATACATTTCAGTGAATGAGGAAGTGTAATAGGAAGCAGGGACCCCTGGAACTGTGAGGAGACAAAAGAGGGTATATTCACCGAGCTCCGCCTTAGCAAAGCAGGGGTGACAAATGGACACAGACATTATGCTGGCTGGTTAATTAAAAGAACATAGCCTAATTAAAAAGATCTTCCTGGTGAATGGACCGCCTCGACGCTGTAACTGACCTGTGTCTCCTGCACATGTTGGCCACGGAGCAGTCAGCTTGCCTTTAATGCATTTAATTTTCATATCAGAGGAGCTTTGACTGATGAGCTGCGAACACCGTGGGGGAGCACGCTGCAGGAAGTGAGCCAGATCGTGGTGGGGGGGCCGGTGCTTGTTAAATGACTCATGATTTCCATTAAACAGTCAATGAAACTTACACAAGAGATTTGATTAAATGTAATTCCACATCTCTTGCACGCAACTTTTTTCTCATCAATGTCTTTGTGTCCAATTATTCTGCAAGTACAGTTTCGGAAATTCAAAGCCGGACAGGATTTTATAATTTCACTGATGTTAATGTTGAGTTTGTTCATAATGTAAGCTTTGATCGACATAGACTTTGTGGTGATGGCTGACAGAGAGAGTAATGATCTGTTTATCTGTAATACTATTAATAATAAGGTAATCAAGTTTGTTTGTGGCTATAATTTTGTTACATTAAATTGTACCGCTTTCTGTCATGCCAGGAAAGCAGATGTTTGAATTTAAATGAGTGACTAAGTTATGGACAGGGTTCTGGACGATACAAAGAATTGACTTATGTAAAGGTTAACAAGAATGGGATTCACCTACACTTGGCACGGGTTTGGTGAGGCAAAAGCATGTTGTTTAGGATGTTTTACATATCTCTGTATATTTAAAACATTATATTTCAGAAGATAATATCGTGCATTGTATACAGATGTATGACATTATGTGGCCACTGAGTATGTGTGCTCTTAAACCTTTTTTTCCAATGCCTTGAACTACTGCATAAATGGGTTTTTAAACTTAACAGGACTGCAACTGATGGGTCATCCAGCAA